TAAAATTAAAATTAAAGTTATAATATATATATATATATACAAGGTCACCAGCCCGTACGTACGGAGGTCCCCGGGCCGACACCTCCGTACCTACAGTTGTTCGGGGTCTGATCCCGACGACGTTCGGCTCCTACCAAAAATTATTTCGGGGCAAAAAAATACGTTTTTTTTTTTTGATTGTTTTTCTGTGAGTTCTTTATGATGTGAGCTACATGCTATAAATTTTGGAGTCATTTTGCTTAGCGAAGCAAAAAGTAAAAATTTCCAAAGATGGCGGTGTCAAAACGTGCTTGCCATTTACTTTTTTTTTTTTTTTTTTCACTTTTTACTTATTATTTTGACTTTATTGCGGGGCTTAAACAATTTTATTATTATTATTATTTTTTTTATTGAGTTTTGTATTATGTGAAGTACACATCTGTAAATTTTCAGGGCATTTGGCCATGCCAAAACAAAAGCGAAAAATCGCCAATATGGCGTTGTCGAAACATGCTCGCTCACTGCTGTTAATTCTTTTGCATATTTTTATTATTAGTTTTATTTTCTGTATTTTATTTTTATTTCAAATTTGGTAAGGAATTTAAATGTAATGCTCAGGTAAATGTTGTCTATTTTATTTTTGTTCAAAACATAATTTTTTTCAGATGTTTTTGAATTTGTTTTTTTTTTTTGGTCCGCGTTCAGCTGTTCGCATCCCAAGGGTCCCGTACGTTTGGACATTCGGGTGTTCGGCCTGTCCCGAACTCCGCTTACCTTGTATATGTATATATTTGACGATATATATATATTCTATTTGACGATATATATCGGCTTTCACTACCTACTCCTAAGGCTATCTAGAGGGGACCCCTCATGTTGCCCCTTGCCCCTAATGTTTAGGGTATAGGTTTGGGGTGACATTTTCGGCCACTACCGTGATGCTCACTTGTGTCCTTTCTCTTATCCTTCGTCTGGGTCTCGCCGCACGGCACACGAAACGAAAACGAAACGAGCGCATCTGCCCACCAAAGGTGGCAAAATACACTCGTTACTATTTATAGCAAACCGATGAACCTGGCGATTTTCTGTGGGAAGATACACTCGTTTCGTTCTCCGTTTTGTGTGCCATGCGGCAACGCCCTCTGTCGAGTTATGAGTGTCGTCCTTGCGCAGGGGCCATGCTAATCTTTATTATGGTTCGAATTTTTAACGGATGTCCTTTTCTCTCTCATCTTAGGGTCTCGTCGCACGGCACACGAAACGAGTGCATCTGCCCACCAAAGGTGGCAAAATACACTCATTACTATTTATAGCAAACCGATGAACCTGGCCATTTTCTACGGAAAGATACATTCGTTTCGTTTTTCGTTTCGTGTGCCGTGCAGCAACGCCCTTACTACTGCTTTCCGCCTATTTGTCTTCCTTCCCGTCCTTACCTTCTTGTCTCCTTTTTATTTTTTATTTTTTTTATCAGATATTAAACTGATCGCGGTCTCTCTTTTCCATCCAAAGTCAGCGCTTGGTCTTTACTCGGTGTCTCTCTTTTCCATCCAAAGTCAGCGCTTACTCTTTCTCTTATCCTTCCTCTCTCACCTTACTCGTGCTTCCAGCTTCTTCATTGCCACTCCTGTCGTTACCCCTACCGTCTTCCCCCGAACACAACGCACCCTTATTTTGTCTGTATCTGGCCGGAAATATAGCTTGTATACATTCATTTTTAGGGTGCGTTATGTTCGGCGGAAGACGGTAGTCGGTGTGTACCTTCTTCATCCTAAGTCAGCGTTTGATATTGACGGTAGCTCGTCATCTTTTCAGCTGAGCTGAGCTATCTTAGCTCTCTGCCTGATCCGTTGATCGTGGGCGCCCACCTCAGCAATTGGTACCAAGGAGGAGGTAAGCTGCCCAGTGGAAACCAGCTGCGCCGCTGAGTGGGACCACCTGTGCCGCCGGCCGCCGGCTGGGACCACATTCGCTCTCTATTGGGACCACGGCAATGTAAGACCTCTCAGCTAGCATATCCCAGCGGCCGCAGCCCACCTGCCAGTCGGTTGTATGAGCACATACAGGAATCAGCCTTAAGCCATAAGCAGCATGTGAACGATAAAGAATCAATAATTGAGTGCCTAAAACCGAAAGACAAAGACCACGTGTCACCTGCCAGTCGGTCGTCGCTTGTGACTGCGGACCATTCGGGACGTCTAACTCGTGGGTAAGGCGGAATAATTAATCTACTACTGTAGGATCCCTCTCTCTCTCTCTCTCTCTCTCTCTCTCGATCTGTTGATCTGTTGATCTCTCACTCTTTCACTCAGCTTCTTTCCCCTTCGCGATGCTCTCTTTGTTTCTGGCTTTCTCTCTGTTTGTTTGTTTTTTTTTCCCTTTGTTTTGTTTGTTAACAAACGTTCCCTCTTTTGCCTTTGTTTATTTTTTTGTTGTTTTTTTTTAAAGAGGAGATCAATCATTTATTAACATGCAAGCCGGGAAGCGGGCCGAGCGAACGATACAGAGAAGATTAGCATGGCCCCTGGGGGGGCAAGGTCCCACTTGCACGGATTAAGAGATTCTGGCCGTTGATCTTTGCTATGTACGGTCAATATCGCTTAATAATTCGTGTAAGTGGGACCTAGCCCCGGGCCTGCGCAAGGATGACGCGCATAAATCGGGAAATGGGCTCTTTTGCCTTAGTTTTTTTTTTTTTTTTGTGGGCTTTGTTTTTTTTTTTTTGTGTGTGTCATGGGAGTGAAGGTTTTGTAGCAATGTGGGAAAAGAGGGAAAGGAAGCGGGAAACAAAACAGCACAAGACAAAGGGAAAAAAAAAAACTTAACTTACTTGGGCCCGAACGTGAACATAACGCACCCGAACGTGGCCCGACTGGGACAGCTCGCTGGTTGCCACTAGCCCGCTCGAGCCTGTTGTTGCTCAGTATACATACACTAGTAGCACTCTATGTATCTCTACATAGCACGGACTCATATAACTCGTATACATTCATTTTAGGGTGCGTTATGTTCGGGGGAGACGGCAGCGTCCTTCGGGATATCCGTTGAAATTGGAACAATACAGAGAGAATGAAGAGATTAGCGTGGCCCCTGCGAAAAGAAAAGAAAAGAAAAGAAAAATGACTAGCTGTAGCTCTGTGTGTCTGTCGCTCCCGTCGCTGCAAACCTCACCTGTTTCCCTCTGCGCATAAGGATAATTTTTTTTTCCAGATATTAAACTGATCAGAACAGATACTACACTTGATCTTAGCCAAAAGGCAGACTACCGAGCATAAGGATAATTGCAATTCAGTGCTGGAGCCATTCGATCGAAGCTTCTCTCTCTCTCTCTCTCCCCCCCCCCCCCCCCCGGTATTACCAATTCAAAATGAAAAGATGAAAACACTTAGAAAGATATGGATGCGTATCAAGATACTCTCATCCCATCCATAGATCAGGTGAGAGAGCAGTCCACAAACTCATGCAGCGCTATGCACTCCACCATGCAGCGCCATGCACTCCTCCTGATCAAAAAATACTTAAAAAACTTTTAAAAAGACAATTTAGTAATTTACTCTTCTTCTTCTTCTTCTTCTTCTTCTTCCCTTTTTTTTTTTTTTTTTTTTAATAACAGGTCCTTATGGTCCTGACTCCATATCCATTCTGTGGGGAGCGTCAGTCCGGTTCCTATTCCCCCGGCAAGTCAAAATAACATAATTTTTTCAAAAAAAAAAAAGCAGAATTTCAAGAACGGTACAGGGAAGATTAGCATGGCCCCACTGCAAGGCTTACACACAAATTGAGAAATCGTCCTTCCCACCGTGGCCCCCTCCCCCCTCCCCCGACCCCCMCCCCCCCCCCAAAAAAAGAACAGCAAAAGAGTGAAATAGACGGGTTCCGTGCCCGTGTTCGGCGCCTTATGGTTCTGGACTCCTGGCACAGCTCAGATCAGGGCTTAGGGTCAAATCCCAATACCCTGGATTATTCATTTTTCACCCTCGATTACGAAGATCAACGGTCAGAAATGAATAGTAGGGGCTAGTGGGATCTGGCCCTTACAGTTTGTACCTTTGGGACCCACTTACACGGGTCCCAGTTTAGAGTCTAAAATTGTAAATGGTGCATCCTGGGGCCTACCCCGTTGTCTTGTTCCAACGGTCGGGCTGGACCTCCAAGGCGCGAAAAATCTGGCTGAATGTCCGACCTTCTCACCTACCGTCTTCCCCTGAATAGAACGCACCTTGGTAGTGAATGTATTCAAGCTATGTTTCCGGTCAGGTACAGCCGAAATGAGGGTGTGTTGTGTTTGGGGGACAGTAGGGAGGTTTGTGCTCGAAGGTCTGGCGGCCAGTTGATATTTCCTTTCTTTTTTTTTTAATTATTATTATCATTTTTTTTATTTTACTTCAATGAGCCGTATTGGACCACGAATCAGATACTAAACTGATCAGAACAGACACTACACTCAATCTTACTCAGACGAGAGGCTGAGAAAGGTATACACATACTACACAATCAATAGTTCTATCGGGTTGTCATGGTCTATTTACCTGGCATTTATTTGTCATTGACGCGTTGTTTGTCTTTCGTTTTCTGTCATTTCTCTGCCATTTATCTATCCTTTATCTTTATCATAACAATATATGTTTACTGATGGAGTGTGGGCCGCAAACTATTAGGGGCTGCAAACACTTATGCTTACTGATGGAGTGCGGGGCCCAAACAGTTATGGGCCGCAAACACTTATGCTTACTGATGGAGCGCGGGCCGCAAACAGTTATGGGCCGCAAACAGTTATGCTTACTGATGGAGTGTGGTGCCGCAAACACTTATGCTTACTTGTGCTTACTGATGGAGTGTGGGCCGCAAACAGTTATGGGCCGCAAACACTTATGCTTACTGATGGAGTGTGGTGCCGCGAACACTTATGCTTACTTGTGGCGGAGTGTGGGGCGCAAACCCTTGTGATGTGAACCCGCCGTCATGGTTACGCGCTCATGTTTCAAAACTCTGGTGTGAAATGGAAAACAGGGGCTGAGAAGGTATGCGGAAATGGTGTATAAAAGGAAAGCCGGCAATGGTTCAGGGAGCCGAGGTGTGTCTGTTGATCATCCGCACGGTTCCTCTGTCGATGGAGTCTCTGTTGGCGTCGGCGTCTTTTCCGCGGAGCGCAAGGGTGGACGTAAATTCCATGGTGTCTGCAGTGGGCTGAAAGGGGATGAGCGACGAGGGCAAGATTTGCCAGGGAGGGAGCCCAACCACTCCACACTATGGGCTTTCTCAGAGGTATGTATGCAATTTGGTAATCTGCAATTGAATCAGTCGGCTCCTAGGTCAGCATCATTCGCATGTACCTGCCGTTTCTTTTTTCTGTGAAGGTATTGAAAAACGATTTTTTTTTTTTTTTTGTTGAAATTTGGAGGGTATTGCTTCTTTTGGTGGGAAAACAAGACACAGATGAAAAGCACTGAAAAGTAATAAATGTGGACCTATGTCTGTCTGTCTCTCTGTCCGCCCATCCCTCCGTCAGTCCGTCCGTCCATCCATGTTCGTCCGCCCGTCTGTCCGTCCATCTGGTCTGGTCTGTCTGTCTCTCTATCTGTCTGCCGGTCTGTCTGTCTGTCAGTCTGTCTGTCTGTCTCAATTGCACATTGATTGTCTAAAATTATAAATGAGTAGTTCATTCAAATTCCATCACTTTACGACTTTGCTAGCCCCCCGCGGCGGTTTCCTCCAATCAGGTTGAAGGGGGGGGGAGTGTCAGCACTACCACTAGGTGGTGATATGCCGTCTGTCTGTCTGTCTGTCTGCCACTCTGGTCTGGTCTGGTCTGTCTGTCTCATTCGCACACTGATTGTCTAAAATTATAAATGAGTAGTTCATTCAAATTCCATCACTTCACCACTTTGCTAGCCACCCGCGGCGTTTTCCTCCTATCAGGTTGAGAAAGGGGGGCGGGGGTGGTCAGCGCTACCACTACATGGCAATGGTGCGCCTCTAGTACGAGCACTGTGTACAAGGAAAAACAACGAATGCTCTTGTGCCAAAAATAAATATTATCTGCTATTTGCTGGTACTTTATCCATGCTGTGGCAGACCTTTCTGTTTTTCCTAGGTATTTTGTGCTGGCTGATGACGGGGTGTGAACCTGCTGCAGTCTGCCTGTAGAGTCTTTGAAATTGTTTGTGTGCTTTGGCTATCGTCACAGGAACCTTTGAGGGCAGTGGTTCGTGCCCACCTTGGGGTATCAGTTGTGGGGCAGTGGTTGGAGCCCAACCACAACTGGGGTTAAGTTGGATTCTCGCTTACGGTGTCATCGGGTGCAAGACTCTGCATACTGTACGGGCTTAGCCTCCTGATGAGTCAGTGAAACTCTGACGAAACAGTCTGTCACAGCCCCTGTTTCTTGTCTTTCTTTCCTTTCTGCCCATGGTGCACCGGCCAGTTTCTCTCTCACTATACATATGTATAACATTGTCACATATCTATCCACTTAAAGAGTCTGATTGCAGTGCGCTTTGTGAAACAAATGGAGAAAGGGCATACAGCATGTGTGTGTGTGTGTGTGTGTGTCTCTGTGTGTGTGTGTGTGTGTGTGTGTGTGTGTGTGTGTGTGTGTGTGTGCTGAGAACGCTGGCGTGGGTCGTCCATGTTTTTTTTTTTTTTTTAACAAATAACATGTTTCATTATATAAAGAGAAAAAGGAGGCTGGGAATCCCTCCACATCTCAACCCGGATGACTGGGGCCATTACCCAGATTAGGCTAGTATTGCGGGGTGGTTCCTGTGCTCCTACCTTCTATGCGTTCACATGCTATTCCTGAAAAAAGGAAACTGGATCAACAACCAACAAATAGTAATAAAGGAAAAAGCTCTATCTAGGTCCCCATTTACCCTTTGAAACGCCCCTAGGTTCCCCTCTGTCTAACTTCTCCTTGCCTCATTCTTTCTTCCTGGTCCTTGCCTTAAACCCTAAACCCTAAACCCTACTGTTGCTAACCTTATTCCCTTTGGTACGGCCTTCTCACCCTCTCTGTCTCCGCGAAAAAACAAGGCCGTAGCCCGGATAGTTGCTACTTCACCATTCCCTAGGGTTCTGCGGTCGAATCTGTCTTTCATGTCCTGCGCTTGGTCCGGTTGCTGCCTTATCTGCCGCTGTGTTCTTTTCCACTGTGCCCAAATCTCTGTCTCCATTAGGTTTAGGAGGATCTCCCTTGCTTCCTGTTCATGCATCGGCCACTTCCCTATTGTAACCTGACAGCGCCTTTTCCAAATTGTCCATACTGTGTACTGTCTTATGAGCTGAAATAGCTGCTTCTCGAAAGCTGGCCAATCTCTGGGGCAGTTGTGTCCCAAAAGCAGGGTCTCTTTTTCTTGCGGGAAGGCTTCTGCGTCATCTGCTTCCAGAGGGTTCTGGCTAATTCCCATAGGCTCTCTGCCTTTGGGCATGTCAGCAGGGCATGCTCCATTGTTTCCACCGAACCCTGCTGGCAAACTGAACACAAGGCGTTGGAGGGGTCCCTTCTTGCTCGACTTCTTTTTTCGTTTAGCCAAGCGTTTACCTGCAGGGCTACGTGGGCAATTAGCCACTGCAAGCTTCTAACCCGGCCAAGTCTGATCCTATTGATCGTTGTCCATGGTATTGTTGGTAATTGCTCCGGGAGACTCCCACTCTGTTCTCCCACCGCATCGTGAGCACGGTCTTCAGAGGGTGGTGCCGCCTTCTGAGTCGATAACCAATTCGTGGTGTACTTTAGTATGCTGACTCTTCTGATAATTCTCAACCTTCCTCCTCTGAGATTCCACGCGCATTCCACCGGGTCAACCTCTAGATCTTCTGTTGGAGTGGTTGGGGTAAAAATCGTGAAATCCTCCATCTCCAACTCTTACTTTTTGTATGTGTTGCGCTTGGATGGTGACCGGAGTCTTGGAGTCCTTGTCCAAGAAACTGGTGGTGCTTCTTGGGTTCATGATGTTGTACATGTTTGCGTTCAGCCACTCCTTCCTGGCTGGTTCTTGACTCTAAATGCGGAAAGCTTCCCCTTCTTGTTTCCATGTAACCTAGTCGCCTAGTCCCCATTGCGTGTTCCTTTTCAACATGGCTACCCATTCCTGTGGTATGGATATGAGGATGTCGTTGAGGTTCTTGGTTAGTCTGTGGCATCCTTTCAATTCCGCTCTGAGCTCCCTAGCCGTCTTCCATTGCTGCCTATCGTTTGCCCAAAATGTTTGATCTGCCAGACTCTGTGTTCTACCCACGTGCCCCATTTTGTGTCCTTCTGTGTCAGAGTAAGGGGCTTACCTTGTCTGTCCTTTATAGGCGAGTTACAAAATAGGGGCTGACGAAGAACCTCCTCACGAGAACGTGGCTCTCTAACTCTGGCAGGGAAAATTTCCTTCCATAATTTCAGCAACTGCTGCCAGTAGGTGTCCGGTCTGGTTCCGTGGTCATTACTTGTCTGCGCCCTTGGGCCTCTCCCTACTTTGGCCCAGCTGCTGCACATCAGTGAGAAGAGCCCTGACATAATGGCTGGTGTAGTGTACTTCGCCATTTGTCTGATTCTGTCCAGGGCCAGTGGCACCCACGACAGTTTTTGATGGGTGATCAGTTTGTACCCATTTTGTTTGCAGAGCTTTGAGCTGCTGGTCTGGATCTATTATGCCTAGGCCTCCTTGTTCCTTCGGCTTCGTAACATGCTTCCATGCCACTTTAGTAATGAAGTTAGGCTTGTTGGGATCCGAGGTCCACAGGTACGATGAAACTTTTCTTCGCAGTGTTGCTGTCGTTTGGGCTGGGGGACTCCCCACATCATTGAGAAGATGGATGCATTTAAGATGAGCGCTCTCCCAAACACCGAGGTATAAATCGCTGACCATGCCCCCAACTTTGCTAGGATCTTGGTCATCAGTTCGGCTGCCATGGAGTGGTGCGGGCCTGTTTCCGTTATCTTAACTCCCATGTATCTTAGCGGGGCTTGTGCTGTGGTCCTTTGTAGTCCTTTTGGGTTAATGGTAGGGTCTAACCCCTCTCCTTCCTCGGTTATCAGCCATCAACCCACGGTCTTTGGCCAGTAAATTTTCATTTCCGAAGCTAGTTGGAAGGCTTCCATGGCTCTTGTTAACGCTTTGAAGGAGGTATCCGATGCTCTGATCAGCACCATCAGGTCATCCACAAACATCAACGTGGTAGGGAGCTGCACTTGCCTACCCTGTTGATCCGGTGCCGTAATCAAACGTTGTATCGAGGGATCCTTCTTCAAGAAAGAGGCTACGGCCTCCATGATGAACAAGAAGATGGGAGCTGCTAGGGGATCCCCCTGTCTGGCCGAGCGCGACATCCTGTATGTTGCTGAAAGGTGGCCGTTGACTTGAACTTGTCCATGAGCATCATTGTATAAAACTCTGATCCACTTCCAGAAGTTGGGTCCTACCCCATCCTCTCCATACACTGTTGAAGGAAATCCCAATTCACTTGATCGTAGGCCTTTTCAAAATCGAAGAAGAGGATTGCTGCGTTTATTATTTTATCCTTAATATATCGTACCGACTCTTGACAATGTCATGAAATTTGTCCAAAATAAATCTTCCAGGTATGAAGCCAGTTTGATCCAAATGGAAGCATCCTGCAGTCACTCGTCTGAACCTATTAGCTAATGCTTTGGCCACTATCTTCTGCGTCAAGGTTAGAAGGGTTATCGGTCTATAGTTCTGTATGTCTTTCGGATCTCCTTTTTTATAGAGGAGTGTAACTATTCCTGTAGCTGGGTCCTGCCCCAAACCCTCTTCCCGCCATGCCTGTTCTAAGAATGCTTCGTATTCTTCCCCTAGGATCAGACAGAACTCCAACCAAAACTCCCTGGTCAGACCATCGTTACCCGATGTCTTGTTAGGAGCCATGGACTAAAGGGCTTCTTCTAGCTCTACCAGTGATAGTAGGGCGTCTAACATTGCTGCCTGTGTGTTGGGGACTGTTGGTTCTAGGTAGCTTAAGAATTTTTCCCTTGCGTTAGCTACTTGTTATGGAGGGTGCTCAAACTCCCTTGAGGTATACAGGTTTTTGTAAAAATCATGTGCTACTTTTACCATTCCCTCTGTTGTTGACGTGATGCCTCGATGTCCTTGCAGTTGCTCTATGAGGGCGTTCCTCCCGTTGGTCTTGATTTTATGGAAGAAGTACTTGGTCATTCGTTTTCCCTCTTCCCATTCCCTAACCATCTCATCGGACCATTTCTGTCCTTTTGATCGTCGATGACAAAACTAAGTCTTCTCCTATCATTTCCTATGATCTCATCACCTGGGTGGATTTGAGGCTGTTGTGGGGAAAATCTAAAACACACACACACACACACACACACACACACACACACACACACACCTGTCTCTTATACACATCTAGATGTGTATAAGAGACAGGTGTTGAGTGAGGTTTTGACTGGGGGATACGGTGGATGGGGACAATTGGTGGATGGGTGCCTTTCTTTTACAGGATTCTGGAAATGAAGAGGTTACAGACGCTCCGTTCATGGATGCTGTTGTGAAGGTGAAGTTTCCCTGCATTTTGCTATGCTAAATAGCACCAACAACTGTCATGCTTATGCTCTCCACTTCCTTATAATTTCCTGTTGTGCTCCTTTCTTGTTGACAACTGTTGTCTCCCTCTTCCTTGTTCTTGTTTAGTTCCATTCTTCCAGGTCCTCTTCCTTTTTTCTTTTTTTGTTGTTGAATTGGATCATTTTTCCATTTATCTATTTCATCCTTGTCAAGGGGTCATGCTGAAATCTTCTCTGTATCGTTCCAAATTTAACGGAGGTTCCGAAGGACATCCTTATCTTCTTTCTCTTCACTGTCACATTTCCTTCTTTTCCATGTTCTCTTTGTCTTCGCTTTCCTGTTCCTCTTCTTTGTTATTTTTTTTCCTGTTTTCTTCTACTTCTGCCTGTCATCTGTTGAAAACACAGATGGGTTGAAGGGTTTCCCTGAAATGACAATGAGAATGGGAGCCCTCCCTTGGAAGTTTCGCCAAAAGTTTTTTGACTTGTTTGCTTAATACTGTAGTAACAGAAGATACAGTGTGAAGCAATTGCCTCACACGCGTCTTCATGGGCATGCCGAGGAGCTTGTGTTTTTTTTTCTTCTTTTTTTCTTTTGAGAGTTCTGACTGCCATGCAGCGTTAATGTGTTCGTTTTAGTGTTGAGAGTCTTGAGACAAGGTTACAAAATGCGGTCAGGTGAGTTTGGGAAGCGATGAGTTGCTATTGCGCCCTTAACCAGATGATTCAGGTGATAGATCAGTTGCGAAGCGTCTGATTTGGCAAGCGGAGTGATTGCTAGGATAGAATCGTAGAAGAAGTTTCAATGAACCACAAATCTCAATTCTCTCGTCTAGACCCAATCAAGTGCACACACAGCCTAATGAGAGTTTTCCCCGACGCGCCCAAGAACATTCACACACCCAAAAAGGACACGTCGAAGTTCCGCTTATCCCAGAATTCCCAACTACCGAGCCCAATTCCCAGCGCGCTCGCTAAGGCGCGCACAAATTCCCATGTATTTCCCGACTTTAGGCATAGGATTTTCTTTTCCTGCGTCGCTTTTTCGCGCGCGGCTATGATGATTTTAATTTTGAATTAGGAGAGAAACAAACCGTAACTGTTTCGGTGCCTTTTTCTTTCTTTTTTTGTTGACGGCGCAACGCATGCAGAGGCTTTCTCCTCTCTGTCCCCCGCATCGCTCCCTCCCGCGCTCCCTCTCCTTCTCCCTCCTCTTTCTCTCTCCCCGTAACTGTTTCTTCCTCTCTCCCCTTCCCCCGTCTTGCTGTTTGCGCGCCCATTTTCCCTTTCTTGATCGTCTGAATCTTGGACCCGTCTTGCGCCACCTCTCGCGCCTTTTTCTCTTCTCACCCTATGAGTCTGGCGTACGACGCCCGGTCGATCCCCCGAGAACTCCCGCTCGCCAATCAGGTGCGTGGATCGATAGGACCTTCCTATCGCGCGACGAATCTGATTGGTTGAACCTTGAGTTCCGAGGGATCAACATGGCGTTCTCGGAGCGCTCTTCTCAAAGTGTTCTCCTCCTTCTCCTCCTACACCCCCGCCTTCCCATCGTTCTCCCCCCCTTCTATGTCCTCTATCGCAACTATAAAATCCGCAAGCGCGCCCGCAAAGCTCTCTTACGTTCTCCACTCTCAAGCGAACTTCGGGGAAGCAGTGGCTAGGCAGAGTGTTTGAAGCGATTCGGAAAGTCTTGTCGGGCTGACGATAGACTGGCCGGTTGCGCGCTSGATCGCCACGACGGACTGTGGGATCTGGGTGAACCGTGTCGAGTCTGTGACAGCGGGGTGACGATCACAGTGGTGGGAGTAGCACACGACGGCCAAGATCGTCGGTGCGGGTATGAGGTTCGATGATTGGAGTTGAGTGAGTGATTGGCCCGTGGCCATAGTGGAATTAACGGCGAATGCGCCTTTGTTGCGGATTGTTATCTTTGGCGTGAGTGTACGGCGGTGACGCCGAACTTTTCTCTTCCTGGATCTTGTCATCTTCTATTTTGGACTTTCTTTCCCTCGACTCTCTCTCTCTCTCTCTTTCTTTCTTCTCGATAGACGATGCGTCTGAATGATTGTCCCTCTCTTGAATGGGAATGAGTCGACATCCTGTTTCTGTGTGAAAGAACTTCTTCCGGAACTCTTCCATTAGTTTCCTGGGTAATCCTCCTACGCAAGGACCCCGTCTACTTGTCTTGTGAACGGTGGATGCGTATGTACTGTGCAATGCGATCCATCTTTTCCTGTGAATGTATCATTTTCGCACCTTCCACATTGAATGCATGTATAGAGATGCGTGACTTTTTGGATTGATTAGACGAGTGTCGTCGGGATTTTGTTCGAGAATACTATAGTCCCGAACGCACTGCGCATGCCATCTGCCTTATGCGGCACGACATCAGCAGCCACGCCACCAGGCGGCCTTGAGAAACAAGGCGCCAGACACCAACGTTGTGTTGAACTGAGTCGCGGGTCGGTCCCTTAGCCCTATGCATGATCAAGCTGATGTATGTCTGCTCCCTCGTGTGTCAAGAAGGGTAGATTGAGGGTCGCATGAATGATTTTTGTTCTTAATGACGCCTTTGGATATATGTGATTGATTGATATGTGGACTGACAAGCACCCTTCGATTGGGCGCCAACCTCCCGCATCTCCCATCCCAACTAATCGACTTGCTTCATCGATTGGACACGTGTATGTGAGTGGGACGTACGAGAAGCCGTCGTAAAAATCGGCGGGCAGTATTACTTCCCTCCGGCCAACTGTTGTTCTGGGTTCGTAGACGCCGGATTTGTCATTATCGATACGCATTTTCCACCCTACTCGATATTGTTGCCGTTTAATGAGCTGATCGTCATTCCGTGGATGGCAGTGGCGCCCCATTGGCCCCGCACTCTGTGCACGGAGTGCCAGCGTTTCGATCGCTACGAAGCGAAGGGCTTCCACTACCGAATACGGAGTGAGGACGAGCATAAGGAAAAAGCCACTCGGCTGAGACCATCCACGTCGGATTCGAAACTGACCAGCGAACGACGACGAGATCTGATACGAAAACGAGACACGCGAAGCGTGCCAGAGTCTTTCCGTTCTAAACGACGGGTTGTAGCCCGGTGGGAAGCCCGACAATACTTTCTGGATTGAATTTGGATCTTTCTGTTTTCTCGCCATGTCCGCGCGCGCATTCCGCGACGCGCGAAACTAATCGACTTGCTTCATCGGACCATCACGGGGGATTTCAGTTCCATCTGTGTCCCCACACTCAATTTCCCAAAAATCCTTGGCACACCCCACCTTGCTGTTTTTCTGGGCCTCTTTCCGCACGTCTCACACTCCGAACGAAAGACAGCACAGGGCGTGAGGTTGCGCGTCACAGCAGCACATTAGAAGAAGGGCAGCCGCGCACCATGGCAAGCCATAGAACTAACATGGGATAAATACTCAGGTAGTATAGCCCAATTTAACCCTGGCACCCTTTTCCTAGACAGAGAACAATTACACTCCCCCCCCTCCCCCCTCAAAGGKTACAATCGTTTCTTTTTGTTCTCAAACAAGGAAAGCGACACTTTGGGCTATCTGGGAAAGAAGATGTGATCTGACCTTTGAAGACCAGCTTGCTAACACAGAGAATCCGCTCATCGTTATCAAACAACTAATAGAAACCGAAATCCATGCGCTATGGAAGAAAAGTTAGAAAACGCAATCTCAGATTACAAAACTCGCCGGATAAAAAACTTGAGATCACCAAGAGATTCACCTCGCTAAGATTAGGGTATGGCGACCTAGGCACAATAGTAAGGAAAATATTAAAGGATTGGCTAATCCTCCCTGTGCAAAACAGTCAGCAGCTCATAAATCCCCCTACAGCAGCACAAATCTCACGCCCAAACGAACCTGACACGGAAACAGACGACAGAACAGACACTGCACTAGTATTAACCCAATAGAAAGAGAACACCCCTGAACGCTCACCTCCGCAAAACACCAAGAACTACTAACGACACTATAATAGCAACTATCCTTAACCCAAAAAACAACAACAACAACAACAACAACAACAACAACAACAACAACAACAACTATCCTTAACTCCATCCCCCTGATCTCGACACGCCACTGACTCTCAAACACATCTTTTCTCTTTGAGACTTACACAACCTTAAACACCACTAGAATCCAAACCCCTATACGCGGATAAAACCCTATCCCCCTCCTCAAAACCACAGATGGTATTATCCATTAGCCAATCAACGCACATACCTCAGGAATCCTCAACAGGATTTCATCTTATACCACAGTCACAGTCCTTGTAACAGATTCAAGCCTACCCCAGAAAGACATTAAACTTCTGCAGTCAAAAGCTAGGACAGATCAATAAAGGGTTCAATGCTTCCCGTTTCACAAGCATTTCAGGTGGCGAGCAGCTGAGAGGAGCATAGCCTTGCTGAGTATCTACGGAAGCTCTGAACAAGTAGCTTCAAGAGCAGTATAGCACTGATAGGTACCAAACAGCAAGGGTTATAGTAGTCTGTGTGTGTGTGTCTGTGTGTGCGCTTGATGAGATAGTTGTGTTTTGAGTCTGCTCTTCTGTCCTCTCTTTCTTTTCCTTTTCGCCCCGTTAACCATTTTGTGTGATTCTTCCTCTTACTCCCGAGTCTGTTGCTTTTCGGTTTGTGTGTTTCCAAAATATTCTGCATGTGTTTCCAAAATTTTGGTGCCAAGCAGGTGTACTGCACGTACACTGAGCCAAATTTCTCTCTTCCCTGGCAGAAGAAAAGGCAGTACTCCAGCACTGGCAGGTGACTGTCTCCTCCCTTTCCTCCTCCTTTCCATACTTCCATGCTTCCAAGCTGTCTGTTGGATTTGACTTTCTTTCCCCTCCCCCCTCCCTCCTCTAAACGAACCAATTACAGTTAATCATGTTCTTTGTATGGCAGACTGCGTACTTCAGTCTGTCTCTCAAAATCGATTTTTTGAATTCCGTTCCTTCTCCATCTGCATTATTTTGTCTCTCCTTGATGCATCTGTCACAAAAATTATAGCTTGTTCAGAAACTTTCTGCTGAAATAAATGGATGGCGGTTGTATCGTGAACGTGGTCGCACCAGTTTGAGCAATAGTTTGGTGAAAAACTACCCATTGGCGAGGTGTGAGGGAAGACGCTGTGAGGACTTGTAAATGGTAGGGGATGGGAGAGGCAGATGGATGCCAACCAACCCACTGCTGTCAGAAGAAGGAAATGAAACTGAGGGGAAAAAAAGGAAGAGGGAAAGAAACTGCTACGAAGGGGAGGGGAGGAGAAGAGTGAAAACCTTGAGGGGAACTTGAGGAAGGAAGGTGAGGAAACTACCCACCCCATGTGGCTGAATGCTACACACACATGGAACTGTTAATGAACAGATCATGAGTTTGAATCCTGATGGAATCAGGGACGAAGGAACATGAGGAAAGTGAAGACGAAAGTGCTGCTGTGTATGTTGTGAGAAGCAGCACCCCGGATGAATGCACAAAAAAAACGAAAAGAAAAAAAAAGAAAAGAAAAGGCGGCGACCTTGAGGTGTCATCGAAGAGCTGATTGGCGCCCTCTTTTTATTTTTTATTTTTTTTTATTTAAAAAAACAGAACCTTAGGATTCCGGCTCCGTTTCCATTCTGGGGAGCATCAGTCCGGTTCCTATTCCACCGCAAGTCAAAACAGATTGTTGATTTTGAAGGCCCTTCTGCTCTACTTACCGTGTTAATGCAGCTTACTGGGTTTCCTGGTTCCTCTACGGTGTAGATATCGCAGCAGATCCAGTTATTGTTGTGGGATGCGTAGTTCTTGATGGACAGGGTCTCCTGGATTAGAGGGGTGTCAATGGTGGTAGCCCAGTCTCTGTCTTGCGATCTTTGTTCTGACTTTAGCAGGTTTCTCCATTGTAGAGGTATGCAGTCTATGATGTGGTTTAGGTTGGTTTAGAGATGATGCACTCCTTTTAGTTTGTCGCGGAGGTCTTTTTCTGTTTTCCGGGTTTTGTTTGGGTAATCCCAGATGTGTTTGATTTGCCAGATGCCCTTCTCCAGCCAGTGGCCCCATTTGGATTCTGATTTCGACAGCGGGAGACTTTCCCCTTCATCGCTCATTGTTCGTGGATTGCCGAAGAGAGGTTGTCTGAGAACTACATCTTTCTTTTTTGGACCTATTTTATTTTATGGGAATCAGTTTCTCCAGTTGTGGAGTATTTGATCCCATATGGATTTAGTCTGGGGGGTATCATTGGTGGTATTTTGAAGCTCTTGTTCGATCTGTCTCTGTCGGCCTTTTGGGAGTGGCCATGCTTTGTTGAAAATCCAGAAAAGACCTGTCATGTCAGATGGAGAAGAGAATTGTGCAAGATTTCTGATGTGGTTTAGGGCTAATGGGGTCCAGTTCAGGTTATCCAGGAGGGTTAGTCTAGTGATCCATTTGATTTGTAGGGCCTGGATTTGCCGGGTTGGGTCTATTAGTCCTAGACCCCCTCTGTTTTTTGGCCAGGTAACTATTTGCCAGGCCACTTTGTAAATAAAGTGTTGTTTGTCTGGGTTTCCTGTCCATAGGAATGCTGCTGTTATTTTCCTCAGTTGTTTCTGGAAGTCTGGTGCTGGGAACCAGATTGAGGTGGCCAACCACATCATGGCCAGGATGTTGTTGAGCACAAGTACCCTGCCTAGTAGGGAGGAATGGATAGTCTTCTAGGCCTGCATTCCATCGACCATTGAAGATAGTAGGGTTGCTGCCGATGTTTGGTGGCATCCTTTGAGGTTGAGGTTGATTCTTAGGAAGCGGATTGGCGAGTCTGGATCTGCCTATTGTAGACCTGGCGGGGTTAGTTCTGTGGGGGAGGGTGTATCCGCGGTCCACCAACCTATTGTTTTTGCCCAGTCTACGGAGCACTGCTGTGAGGCGAGTTGGAAGGCTTGCACCAGAAGGAGGAGCTGGGTGCCCTGAATAGGAGAACGGTAGGATTGTGGAGTGGGTGTTCTCTTTCGTCTTTAATGTTTTCGATCCTCTCGATGGAGCTGTCCTTCCTCAGGAAGGCTGTGATGACTTCCATGACAAATAGGAAGATCGGAGCTGCTAGAAGGCCCCGTTGTCTTACTGATCTGGTCATTGGGTAGGGGTTCGAGAGGAAGCCGTTGACCTGAGCTATCCCCTGTGGATCGTTCTAGAGTACTCTCACCCATTTACGGAAGATAGGGCCTACTCCCATTTTTTCCATGCTGGCATGAAGAAAGTCCCAGTTGACTTGGTCATATGCTTTTTCGAAATTAAGGAAGAGGATGGCCGCGGTGATTCGTTTTTGGCTGATTGGCCTTGTGGATTCGCAGAGTGACATTACGTTGTCTAGTATGAGTCTTCCTGGAATGAAGCCTGTTTGGTCCAGGTGGAAGCATTGTCCTGTGATTCTGTTTATTCTGGTGGCTAGGAGTTTGAACGAAATTGAAACCGACTAAATTGGCCCAACTTAGGTCAAAAGTTTTAGCTCTTGAGGGTCTAGCGTTCTTAAATGCCGTACCCCCTAGATGTACCTGGACTTAGCTGGAGTCCAGAAGGTAAAGCGTTTTAGTAACTCCGGACCCTCTCGATGTAGCTGGACGTAGCTGGAGTCCAAGGGGTACGGAGACCCTCGGGAGCAAAATTTTTGACCTTAATCAGGCCAATTTAGTCGGTTTCAATTTCGTTCAAAAAAATAAGAAGTCATAAAGAATGTCCATTTTGACGGAATGGCTGTTACTTATTCTGTTCATCTGATTCCTTCAGGATTTGAACTCAGGTCCGTTCATGAAAAGTTCATAAGTACAGCCACGTGGGCTGGGTGCACTGGATCCCAAGGCTATCTTTGATTCTTTTTCTTTTTTTTTTTGGTGCTTTTTTTTTTTTCTCTTTTTTCTTCGAAAACATTTTATAAATTTATATTCGATTTTCAAACTCAGTTTGGCCTTCAGAGGACTGTTTGGCATAATATGGTTCAGATATGCTCTGCATGACACATAATCTGGACCAGATACATCCACTCTGCAGGACACGGAATATGCACCAGATGTAGTGGGAATATACTCCCCACAACCGTGGTGTTGTGCGAGTGTTCTCTCAAATCTCGCTACGGTATCTGTCAGCATACAATGTGAGCATGTGCTGTATTGAGATAGTGTCCTTTGGGCCGGTGATTTATTCCTAGAATGAATCTTCGGGCCCGTTGATTTGTAATTAGAGTGAGCCAAACGAGTGATCAATTTCAAATTCCTATGATCCAAACACCTGAACCGCAGTGTGCTGACAGCTCACTTTATTGTATCCAGGTACCAGATGTCTGGAGGTCTGTGCCGAGTTTGCAGACTGAGTAAAACAAGAGATTTTCCAGATGTTTGTTTGTTTAAAGCTCTGAGAAAGAGAAGACCTCTAAGAATGTTGTAAGAAGTGTAAAACAGGAGGTACACACACATGCATACACAGAATGATGAGCAACTCACACACATAACACACGCACACGCACACAGGAACAGAGGTAAAGCTGCTTCGATTTTGAATCTACTCGTCTGGGAGGAACAGGGCCTGTTGTGGTAAAATCTATAACAGACACACACACACTCACAGGAGAGAGAGAGAGAGATAGATAGATAGATAGATAGATAGATAGATAGATAGATAGATAGATAGATAGATAGATAGAGAGAGAGAGAGAGAGAGAGAGAGAGA